GAGGGGGGGGCAAAACACACACACACAAATCTAAAAAAAAGTATGTGAAAAAATGACGAAGCTCTTTTTTTTTCGTTTTAACTAACGTTTATTATATCCTTGATCTTACGAACTAATCAAAAAAAATTTTTTTTTTTGTTTCATTTCGAATCTGGGTCTTAAAACATAATAATAATAATGTGATCGAAAAACATTGACCAATTATATTTAAAAAAAAAAAAAAAAACTAGTAGGTCAATAATCATTGAGAAAATTTTTGGAAAAAAAAAAATGGCACCCCAAATGAGTTTTTAATTATTATTTTTTTTTTAAACAAAACAACAAAAATTTCTCATTTGTTCTATTATTATTATTATTATTATTATTAATATTAAATTTTTTGTTCTTTTTACACGTTGAATTGATGACTAATTAACTGATAGCAAAAAATAACGAACTTTTATTCGAAATAACAAAAAAAAAAACAAAAAAAAAGAGAAAAAAAAAATTTTATTCTTAAAAGTGTGAAAAATCTTTTCTCGTGGGAGATTCTTAAGCGTGTGTTTGTTAGTTTGTTTGTGCGCGTTTTTAATTACAATAACACGTTGATTATGTGAAATGAATATGAAATACGACAAACGCAAGACGACAACAGTGTAACAAACAGTTTGTGACAATTCATTAGAATATTCAAATCTAAACGTAAAAAAGCTCGTTAAATGTTTGTTTGCTTGTTTGCTTGTTTGTTTTTATACAAGGTTATTATAATAACCACCATTTATATAAATTCATAACAATCATCATCATTATTATTATTAATTAAAACGAATCGGAAAATTAACACTCGGAAAATTTTTTGCTAAAAAAAAAATTATTAAATAAAATATGATTGAAACACTTTACAAAAAAAAAGCCGGGAAATTTTTTTTTTAAATATTTTTTTCCCCATACCAAATTTTTATGTAAAAACAATAATAATAATTACCCGATAATTAATTAATAAATAATAATAATAATAATAATTATTAATAAAACGTTCACAATGATTTAATTAATTTTTTTTTTTTATTAAAGAAACTAATAAAAAATATTCATTATTTAAACGATTGAATAAAACGTAAATCATTGTTTTAACACCGTTTTATGTTTTATGTTTTGTTTTACACGAACAAATAAAAATGATTCACACACACAAGGCACAACAAACAACAATAACAACAACCATCCTTTATTTATTTGTCTATAACTAACTAAATAATAATTTATAAGAGTCTCTCTTCTTACCTTTAATTCTTATCCCCACCATGATTAAACACACTCTCTGGCCTTATCCATGTAAAACGTTACTCTCTCTGTTGTAAATCAACAAAACTAACACTTAAATCATTCCATCACTTTTTTCTGGAAACAAAAAAAAAAAATGTCAAAATGATTTTGTAATTTTTTTTTTTTTTTTACACCCCTGATGATGACCTTTTCAACTTTGTTCATTATAATTATTAACAATTACAATGGGAAAACTATCAAACTTTTCTTTTTCAAATTTTTTGACTATAAAAAAAAAAATAATGCACACATATATACTTATTTAGTTTTATGTAAAGTAAAAGTAAAATTACATTTTGATTAATTATAAAATAAGTAATAATAATAATAATAATAAAACAATAAAAATTAGTTTTTTTGTTAATGTTCCATTTCATGCATTGTTATAAACTTAACGTATATTTTCAATTATAGAAAATTTTTGTAATTTTTATTTGATAATATGAAATTTTGTTACTTTTATTATAGAATTTTTATATAATGATATAAATAAGTTAAAGAAAACGTTATAATTAATAAATTTTTTAAGTTTATAACACAAAAGGGGTAAATTTATAAAGTTTTCCCTATCCATTTTAATAAATTCAAGAGAATTTGATAAATAATAATAATAATTACGCCGTATCGTGCGATTTAATAAAAGAAACTATTCAATTATATAAATTAATAAAAAAAATTTCATTAAAAAATCTTATTTAACTAAAAATAATTTAAAAAAAAAAAAAAAGTTTTAAAGTAAGACTAAATACTTACAACTGTTTAAGCCATTTTGTAATTTATTAAAATTGATTGAAGCGACATCTGTGTCAATAATTTGTACTAAATTTTGTATTTATTATCTCTGTGGAATTAAACAATTTTTAACCTTGGAAAAATCATTCATCTCTTTTTATATATATAAAAAAAAAAAGTTTTTTTTGTTCATGTAAAAAAAAAAAATTTTTCTAATTTTTTTTTATATTTTAAAGAGTATTTTGTGCCGTGAAAATTATAATTATAGTCATCGGCATTTAGCAATAAATTTATTTTTAGTTAATTAAATAGTTTTCCTTTCTAAAATATTATATTTAAAGCATTTTTTATCGTGTGTGTGTGTGTAGAATGTTATTTAAATTTTGCATTTAAATATAATTATCTCTTGACATTTTGCCTCATGATAACTTATTATTCAAATAACGTATTTATGTATTTTCAATAAAAAAAAAAATGTGAATAAAAATTAATAACATGTTATAAATATTTTAGAAGGAAAACTTCCTCTGGCTTTCATATTAAATGGAATATGAAAAGTGAAAATAATAAATTGGCAAAAGAAAAAATAAATAAATAGGAAAAACCCCAAATAAATATTGAAAAGAATACAATTATGTTTTTTTATTTGTTCAGTTATTCTCCATCACATGAATAAAGAGAAAAAAAAAATTATTATTACTCTATGATTGAAACTAACTAATACTACCTCTAAAAATGATTGAATTTAAAAGTCCGTTCAGAAAGTAATAATGTTACTTTTTGTAATCAAACAAAAATGAACAATGATAACAAAACTATAGAATCAAATTTGAATGGAAATATTGTTAATAAGTGTAAAACAGTTTCTGAAAACAATAATTTAATTTTAATTGAAAATATTGATAATAATGTCGACAGTGTGTCAGTTACCTTAGCCAAAGATTTTGTCGCAGCTGCGGGATTTAACGTAGAAGCACCGATTGTCAATGCAATTATAGGAAATATTACTGGTTCTCTTCCTACAAGAAAAATTGAAACTCTTGACACAATGAAGTGTAAAATTTGTGATTGTGAAATTACATCCAGTCATATTTTTGCTCATCACATTAACGGATCCAAACATAAAAAAAAGGTTAAATAAACGACAGTATAAATGGATTTCAATGAGAAATACACATTTCATTTACATCTTTTTGTAAATTTTATTTATTTTTAAGGTAAAAGCTTTGGATATAATAAATCAATTAAAAGAAAAAAAAGGAGTTCGCGCTGAAGATAGTGATGACCCTAATGCTTTTCGTTGTGAAATTTGTTCTGTGACAGTTAATTCTGCTCAGCAATTAGAACTTCATTTAATGGGTAGGTAAAATAAATAATGCATTATTATTATTGACATTACTATTTCAAATGTGTATTCATTATATAAATGATTTTTTCAGGATCAAAGCATAAAAAAAAAATTGACAATGATGTATTTAAATTAACTGGGAAAAAAAAGGAAGAAAATTTAGGTAAGATTTTTTTTCGTAACAGGATTTTTTCCTTTAATTTTTGTGGATAATAAAATTATTAAAACGTTTTCTACAAAGCAAGATATTTAAACATGAGTTTATGTTTTATTTTAGATCATGCATCATCACCTAAGAAAAAAAAAAAAGAAGAGCCGCATCCAATTTTACCATGTCAGTTATGCGGAATGTTTATGAATTCTCCAAGCCAATATGAGCAGGTAATTTTAATTAGTAATTTTCTCTAGCACTTTAATTATTACTTATTTATTTATTTACCTTTGTTAATTAAATTTTTTATTTTATTTAAATATGCTTAATTACAAGGTTATCGCTTTAAGGTTATGCGTTAATGCTATCTGTAAAAATAATTATTTAAAATAATTTCACGATTGTTTTGGTATCTTATCAAACTTGTGTAAAATAATTTTTACACAAGTTTATCATCTTTAAAATCATTTAAATATCATGAAAAAAAAATTATATTATTTGATTTTGAAATTGAATTTTTGTTTTAGCATATGTCATCGAAAAAACATAAAATGAAAAGTGGTCAGTCGAATACGACAAACGAGGAATCCTGTAACACTGATAATAATAAATACATGTATGGTAGAATTGAAGTTACCCAAAATGTAGTTGGCACAAGCTTTGACAATGGCTATCAAGCTGTACCACGAAGTGGTTATAAATATCAAAATTATGATACCACTTACAAAGGGCCTAGTAATTATTATAACAATGTTAATCCATATTCTCAAAATTATTATGTAGAAAATAAAACGACAGAGGGTAGCCAACCCTATTATAATAATTACCTTAGGTATCCACAAAAACCAACTTATAAAATTCAATACCAAAATAATGGTAATTAAAAAAAAAAAATAATAATAATAAAAAGTATTTTAAAAAAATAAATAAATATAAAACTTTTATTATGTAACGATAGTGAAAATGATGATTGTGATTCATATGTGTTTAAATTGAATTATTCATATAACCATATGCAATTTTTTTTTTTTTTAAGCATAACAAGTACTTGTTAATATAATAAGAAGGTATATTATAATAATTTTTTTTTTTTTTTCGTGTATTTTAATGATATTATGAATATCATTATTCAATTTAGATTGTATTAGAAAATAGTGAATCAAAGAATCATATTTAGGTAAATATGTTTAAGTGTGTGAAAATACAATTACTTGAGCCTTACATTACAAAAAAAAAAAAATGTAACGATAATTATTATTATTAATATTTTATTTTATAAATATAAATAATAAAGCATAGGATATTAAAATAAAATTTATTTAATTATTTATTTTTTCCTAAATAAGTCCAAAAAAAAAAAAAAAATGATCATCAAGGGATATATATATAGAGTAAAAATATAATCAATATTAAAATTGATTTCCCGCGCGTGGTCGTGGAACTAACAATATTAGTAAATTTGACAACCGCGCTTTTATAGACTAGAAACTTCTTTAAGAATGAGTATAAACTGGTCTGGCTTGTGAGGTAGTAGATGGTGTGTAACATATTTTTAAAAAAATTTTGTTTCCACCGTTTATATTTATTTAGTAGCATTTCAAATAGTTTTTTTTTTTTTTTTTTAAATATAAATTAATTATTTGTACATAATAAAGGATTTTTACATTTCTTATTATTATTATTATTTGTGAAATGAAAAAATCCCGTATGTAATATAAATCAAGCATTAAAAAAAAAAAAAAAAATTATTTGAATGTTTTGGTGATTCTATTTGTCGTATCTCACCTCACCGAATATTAATAATATAATTTAATATAAAAAAAGTGATTTGTATTTATTTAAAAAAAAAAAAAATGGCATCTGAATTAATAGCATTTACCGAATACGAAGAAGAAATTTGTTTCGATTTGGATGATCCAGATTTCGCGTCATCAACAAAAACATCTTCAGTCGGTGGTAATGGTAGTAATTTGAGACCGAATGCATTATCATGTTTAATGGAAGCTCGGGGTAAGTTATTCATTAATTAATTATTAAAACGACAAAATAATAATAATAATAATAATTTAACCGAGAGCTATTATTAGTAGGATTAGTTTTTATAATAAACAACAACAACAACAACAACTATGACCTAAAACCTGTAAAATGTGTTTCTTGCTTTTAGTTGTACAAAAACATATACAATGTTGAAATTTTTTCACGTTTTACATTCACTTGTTAAGGCCATATATTAATCCGCTAAAAATTGTCTATGAATTTTTTTTTGTTTAATTTTCCTTCTTCCACGTTAAAATTTTTTTACATTTTCTATCTCTCTCTCCCTCTTCATCATAAGATTATATTAAACGTTAGTAATTAAAATTAAAATGGCGGATTAATTATAATCTAAACTGTTAACTATTTCTTTTTATAGATTATTATTATTACAAATCGTTTGTGTTTGTTTGTGTGTGTGTGTGTGTAATTTTTCGACGGTAAATTTCCCTTTTTTTTTTTTTTTTTTTTTTTAAAAAAAAAAAATTTCAAAATAACAACAACAAACGTAAAAATTTCTCTTTAATGAGTTCTTGAGGCATTTTTGTTATTTGTTTATTGTTTTGTAATGTAATAACTCATTTCCGCATTTTTTTTGTTTTTTTTTTTTTTTCCCTTCATTTTTCCATCGTCATCGTCATCGGGGTATAAATATTATTATTATTATTATTATTATTAAAACTCGTTTATTAATATATATATATGTATAAAATTTTTTGGTACTAATAATAATAATAATAATTTAAATGACCTTCGAAAAAAAACGCGTTCGCTTTTTTTTTTTACTATTCTTATATCTTTTGGTATTATTAATTGATTATCCAATGTTTACTCGTTCAAAGGTGATAATAATAATAATAATAATAATAATATCGAATGGTAACTAACGAATAATAATGATGATGATAATGATAGTAATTACGATTTTCACGTGTAATGGAACGAACGAAAAATTTCAAAAAAAAAAAAAAAAAAAAAAATTTAGAAATGATTTTGTTTTTAAACAAAGAAAAAATTATTATTATTTTTTTTTTTTTCGTAGTCATTCTAACGAATGATAATGATAATGACGATAATGATGATGATGATGATGATGATGATGATAATGATAATAATAACGATGGTGATGATGATGATAAAAACCTTGTCGTTTTTTTGTTTTTTTCAAAAAAATTATTTTTTAATGACATTAATCAATAATAACAATAATAATGATTTTTCTTGCAAAATTATTAATAGTGATAATAATAATAATTTTTTAATACTATTAAAATAAATTTAATTTGTTGTTGACGGTTATTATGTATGAAAAAAAAACATAATGTCAGGGTCGGACGTTGTCATTTTCTCTCTCTCTCTCTCTTTCTCTCTCTCTCCCTCCCTATTAAATAATATTGTAAATCAAAGATGTCGTCGATTCTATAAAAAAAAAAAAAAAAAAAAAAAAAAGGAAAATTGTTCGTGTGTTGGTTTGCTTGTGTAAAAGGTCAAACTCCCCCCCCCCTCCGTGGAGCACATTAAAAATTATTATTATTATTATATGTAAATTAATGTGGCGAAAAAAAAGAAACTCGCGGTTTTTATTAATTAATGACGATAATAATAATTATTTTTTCAAATCGGAACGATTGTAATTTTAATAAATTTATTAATAGAAAATCGTTTGGATTAAATAATGATAATGATAATGATGATGATGATAAATAAGTTTAGGGTAAATAATAATAATAATAACAGGGTGAAATCGGATTCAATGAATTTGTTTTTATTTTTTCTGTAATTAATACGCGTAATTAATAAAAAGCTTAATTAATTGTAAAAACAAACAAGCAAGCAGGCAAACAAACAAACAAACAGAGTTTCGAATTCGAGAATCGATGGAAATTTTATTTTTTCTGCTTTTCGAAGTTCTCGCGTTCGATTCGTTCGTAATAATCGAACGTGGGAGTAAAAATTCGAGAGTAAAATTTTGATGGATTTAAACAAAAAAAAAAAAAAAAATTTCCTTTTCTAGTGACACGTGTGTAGTTTGTCATAAAAAAACGACCGTATCGATTGTTAACAAAAAAAAAAAAAATATGTAAACCTTGAAATAAATCTATAATTAAAATTTCTGGGAGAAAACAAAAACAACAACAAACGATTTTTTAAAAATACTTTTTTACGTAGATTGTGTGTTTGTTGCGTTTTGTCATTCATCAACTCGTAATCTGTTTGTTTTATTATTATTATTATTATTATTATTATTATTATTATTATTATTATTATTATTATTATTATTATTATTATTATTTTATTTTTGTAAATAATAATTTTTTTTTTTTTTTGTAATTTAAGGTTTCGCGATAAAAATTTATTGCATGACATGTATAAACTTCATTTTGATTTCTTATTTTCGTTTGTTAATTTAAAATTTGTTTGTTAATGGGTTTGTTGTTGTTGTTGTTGTTGTTGTTAACCGATGCAAAATGAATGAACTTAATAGTTTTATTAACGATAACGTAATTTTGTTTTATTATATTATTTATTAAAAAAAAAAACTTTGAAAGGTAATAATTGGAGTTTAAAACAAAATGGCGTCACTTTCTTTTTCCAAGAGTACGGTATAAAGGAAGTGTTGATGAAACGATTTTTATTTTTTAAAAAAATTATTTATTTATTTATTTACGGAGTTCGATGGTATTAATAATCGATAGAATCGAAACTTTCTACGCAGACATACTCGAAAATATTTATTTATTTATTTTTTTCCGGCTTTATTGATTTCATTAAAATTTATGTATATATTACATGTGCGTCCGTCCATTTTTTTTATCCATCGGTAAAAGTTGTTCGAATACAAACAAACAGGCAAAAATTACGTTATGATGATTGCATGAGAGAGAGAGAGAGTCTCTTTGAGTTATATGGAATTTTTCTCTACGGAAAATTCGTCCTTTCCGATCATCATTATTAAAAATTTCGAGTTGCCCCACTTCTCCCTTTCCCCTCACTTCCCCCACTCTCCCCCTTGTCCGTCGCCCGCAAGTTAGATTTTGTAAAATTAAGAAAATTCTAGATTGAATTTATTTAATTAATCGCATCGTCTTATTTATCGAATTTGCTTTCGTTCATAAATTAATTAACGAATTTTAATTAATTAATTAATTGATCGGGAAATTTTTTTAATTTTTCCAAAACCCTTTTCCAGCCATTTTTGAAATGAATTCGAATCGGAAAATTCGGAAAAAAGTGTTTTATTTGCTTTACGTTAATATAATCATCGTGCAAATTCAATAATTTCAATCGACTGAAATTATCGTTTGTTTGTTTGTTCGTTTGTTTGTTTGTTCGTTTGTTTGTTTGTTTGATTGGGCGAGAGAGAGAGTTTTATTTTTTCCCATAAGGTTTCTTTTTTTTTTTTTTTTTTTAATCACGATACTGGAAATAAAAATGTATTTTTGCAAGTTTAACGTTGTCGTGTTTTTGGTTGTTTGTTGTTAACGTTTCGCTTCGAAACAAACAAACGAACAAACGTTTAGACGTTGAATAGAAAGCTAAATTCGTGGTTATACAAAATAATCATTACGAAAAAACGATTTAATCGTAAATTAGCAAAAAAAAATTGTCGTTTGTCATGGAATCCGGAGGTGCATTCTGGAATTTTTTTTTTTTTTTTTTTTTTGGAGTTTCAGTAAGGAAGTTGTTACGGTTGTTGTTGTTGTTGTTACTTTTCGAATCTCGATTGTTTCAAGGTTGGTAGAATTTGCATTCATTAGTTGTAGGCTTGTCGATACGATAATTAATTTCTTATAAAAAAATTTGCAAAAGTAAAAAAAAAAAATCAAACGAAAGATTGAAATCTTTCAGTCTGGAAACGCGTTTTGTTTTGGTTTTCGAATGTGCTGCCATCTTTTCCGATAATGATAATGATGATGATGATGATGATGATTGTCACAATATCTTGTACGTTTTTTTTTGTATTTTTTTTTTTTTTTGATTATTTCAAACGTTTAAAATTTTGTTTGGTTTTCTCAAACTCGAAAGATTGTTAATAATAATAATAATAATGATGATGATGATGATGATGATGATGCATACACACTTGTAAATAAATAACTTTTGAGTGGAACAAAAAAAAAAAAAATTTTATTTTGCAAAAAAATCACGTTTGAGTAATTTTCTTTGCTTCCAACACAACCTGATATAGGTAGGTACGACAAAGCAGGCAATCGTATCTACAAAAAATTTAATGTCATGGCTTCATTGTTCTTTATATTTGCAAACAAACAAGATAAAAAGTGTGAGAGAGAGAGAGAAATAATAATAATAATGATTTTATAAGTTGCATAAACGTTTATCTTAACAATTGAGTTTCGAAAGTGAAAATAATAATAATAATAATTGTAAATAATACTGTCGTCGTTGTTGTCGTTGTTGTTGTCAAGCCGGTTTAAAATTTTAATTTTCCCGATTGTTTGTTATCGTTTGTTGTTGTTGTTGTTGCTTATGCGGTTAATAAATTAACATTGTATACACTTTGACCTCTCGAACGTAATTATAATTGATTCCCTTTGCATTTGCCTAATCAATTTGAAATAAAAAAAAAAAAAAAAAAAACTCGCGAGGGGATCGATTGATTGATTGTTCGATCGATCGATTTATTGTAGTTATTTTTTTTTTTTTTAGTTAATTTAAACTTTAGGATTTGTTTAAGATGACAACAACTACCATAATGAATTTTGCAATAATGCTGCGAAGAAAACTTAACTGATATTATTATTATTATTATTATTATTATTATTATTATTATTATTATTATTATTATTATGTTGTTCTTATCAAAGAATTTTTAAATTGATTTACAAGTTGAGTAAATGAGTTCGA